TGGGATATGGAGACATAGGAAGCACTCATTATGTGGTGACTGGTGTTGTTGATTGCTGCTATTGTTATTACTTAATTGACCAGCCCTGGGAGCAGGTGCGTCCCCATTGCAGGTGCAACTGCTTTTCTCAGCTGCAAGAAGAGTAAATGAGTCATCACAGCACGTTGCCAACTTCCTGAACTATTGAATTGCCAGAGGACTCACATAGGATCACTATTTTTTTTAAGTTACCCTTTCTTTTTGAAGTTCACAGATGAGAGACTTTCTCTTCTCAACTCCACCTTTCCTTTTCAAGGCCGTTAAATCCCAAACAAACCAATTAGAAAATGATTCCTTTTGTTGCCACCCCTTTGTGGTTCCTTTTACTCCATTCATTCTCCTGCCTCATTTGTACCAGAAGAAAAATGATACTTCATGCATTATACTGTTTGTCACCCATGCCCTGGCAGTCACAACTGTACGTGCCTTTCATGTATGTGAATCAGTGTGTGCTGTCCCTTCCTTTCCCCTGCAGAAGGGGCTCACCCTGCCTTAGAAGAGGGGACACTTGATTAGCAGTGTGTGAGCTAATGTGTTCCTTTTCCATTGTCTCAAATGTGCAAACCTCCTGGGGTGGCAAAATAAGGCTCTGGGTCCCCCAAAATATCCATGTTCTAATTCTTGGAACCTGTGAATATATTTGTTACTTAAGGTTGCTAATGGAATTAAGGTTATTAATCAGCTGATTTTAAAGTAGGAAGATTATCCTGGATTATTGTGGCAGGCCCAATAAAATCAAAAGGGTCTTTAAAGGTGGAAGAGGGGGGTAGAGGTAGAGGTCGGAGTGATGTGAAGAAGGACCCAGCCAGGTGTGGCTGGTTCTGAAGATGGAGAAGGGAGGCTGAGTGTCAGGGAATGTGGACTCCAGAACTTCCAGCCTCAAGAAGCAGGAAAGGATAAGAAAAGCTTCTCTCCTGGGGCCTCAGAAAGGAGCACAGCCCTGTTGACACTTAGATCTTAAGCCAGTGAGAACTGTGTCCAGCTTCTGACCAGCAAAACTGAATTAGTAACCCTGTATTGCTTTAAGCCACTAAATTTGTGGTAATTTGTTACAACAGCAACAGGAAACTAATACCTACCCCATCTCAGATCTGCCTGGCACCCTCCTAACACCCTGCTCCCAGCTTAAAAAGCCCATTTCTCTATTTTAGCTTTGCTAGTTAATTCAGTAAAATTAGTGAGCACCTATTGTATAAAAGGCACCATGCTAGGTCCTAAAAATGCACAGTGAATAAGAAAGACCCAGGCCCTTACATTTCTTCAACAAATATGTGCATTCTCAGGCTCTGGAATGGATGTGGCAGAGATGGAAAGAAAATAGCCCTGACTAAATGGCTCACAGACTTCTGAGAAGGCAATCAACGTAAATAAAATATCATGATTTGGCCTAGTAAGTACATGACATAGGAATTGTTATAGTTTGTATTTAATGTTCCCCAAGAACTTCAAGCACCCTTAGCTAGGGCTTTTGGAGGAAGATTGGATTGTAGGAGTCTAGCTGACTTGCTTTTGGGGGAGGGGTCTTGTTGGAAGAGGATAGTCACTGTAGGTGTGACATGGGTTTATCTCTCTCCTTGGCTCCTTCCTTTACTCTGCTTCCTAACTGCCATGAGGTGAGCAGCTTTCCTCCGCCAGACCCTTCCACCATGCCTTCCTGGCTGCAGTCTATGGACTAAAACCATAAGCCAAAATAAGTCTTTCCTCCTTTAAATTGAGGATGTTAGGTATTTTGTCCAAAAGACATGGAAAATGACTAAAACAGGAGTATAGAAGAGAGACCACCAGACTCAGCTGGGTGGCATCGGGAAAACTTCAGAGAGAAGTAGCTGAGTTCAGAGGAACAAGGGTTTGCTAGGCAGAGCAGATGTGGTGAGACACTCAGGAGCTTTGGAGGTATGTGACACTGGAAATGCAGCTGGTGCAAATAAGGATCTGAATTTTAAATTTTTACTTTATTTTTATTGCCTTTAATTGAAATGGAAATAGCCACATGTGGCTGTTGGCCTCCATGTTGAACAGAGCAGACTGTACTGAACGGTATCCTTATGGAAGCTGTCCTCTCTCTCCCCTCCTCCTGCTTCTTACTGGCTGGAAAGCAGATATCACCAAAAGCCACTCTGGACCATGCCAATAGGACATCTTCTGGAATGGAGTTAAGGACATAGAAGGAATATGGGTCCCTGACAATATAAGAAGCCATCTTTTAGTTTGCTTCTGCCCAGATTGTTATGCGGGAGGTATAGAAACTCCAATATTGTTTAATCTGCTGTTATATTGGGTCTTCGTACAGCAGCCAAATCTGTCTCTTAAAATAATGAAAAGCAACAACTGTAATCTTGGCTAAGATTTTTTCAAGTTCCTTCTTTGAAGCAGACACTATGCTAAGTGCACATGCTCACTTAATGCTATACAGACCACCTAGTTAGACAGTAGCACACACCCATTCTTCAGATGCTGGGGAGGTTGAGGGATGTGGCTCTGGAGAGCCAAGATTCAACCATTCTGACAGCAAATGCCATTCTAGTAAATGGATGCTGTCTTAGTCACTTTCTTGTTGCTGGGGTACAATACTGGACACCCACAACTTAAAGGTGGAGAGGTTTATTTTTGGCTCATGTTTTAGTCCATGGTCAGCTGGCCCAGGGCAGAAGCAGCATGGTATAAAGGCCTGCTGTGGAGGAAAGCTGCTCACCTCAGAGTGGCTGGGAAGTAAGAGAGAAGGGAGGAGCTGGGGAGGGAGAGATGTCCTTCTAGTGCCTACCTCTTCCAACCAGACAGCACCTCCTAGTATCACACCTGTACGGCCGCTAAGGACCAGTCACCTTTCAAAAGCTCCACCTATGAATGCTTGGGCTTTGGGGAACCATTTATATAATCCATAACAGATGTAGAATATGCTATCATGAAAGGTCAGACAAATGTGTGTGCAGTCAGTTTTAAAATGTAAAGAAGCTGGGCATGGTGGCACACACTTGTAATCCTAGGACTCTGGGAGGCTGAGACAGGAAGATCACAAATTTGAGCCCAACAAGGGCAACTTTGAGACTTAGTGAAACTCTTTCAAAAATATAAACCTGGGCATAATGGTGCACTCCTGTAATCCCAGCACTTGGGAAGCTGAGGCAGGAGAATCACTGTGTGTTCAAGGCCAGCCTAGGATACATAGTGAGTTCAAGGCCAGCCTTAACTATGTAAGGAGATTATCTCAAAGAAACAAAAATAAATAAATAAAATAAATACAAAAATATTGAAAAGGACTGGAGGACCCTAAAATGAGTGTGAAGACCCTAGATTCAATCCCTATAAATAAAATAAATTTTAAAATAAAATGCAGAGGTATATTTTCCATAGACATTCTCCAGTTGTCCATTCCCCCTTCTTCCTATAAAAAGAACCCAAAATTGATAAAAAATTAGGCATCAATTCCTTGACTTCATGAAGGACAGCCCTCTATTGCAGAACCCAAGGCAGAAATCCTAACTGGTCTAAACTAGTCATGTCTTTTGTCAGTAATTGGTCTAAGGATAGGCATGTGGCATAGTTCTGGTCAATGAGATTTAAGCAAAAGTCTGAGAGAAACAAAAAGCCCCAAACAAAAAGTCAAAACCTGCCTGGAATGAAGATGCAATGCTGGAAGTGCAGCATCCTTCATGCAACCATGAAGTACAAAAGCCCAAATCATCAGAATGCAGAGGAAAGAGCTAAGTGGGGTCCCTGATGAGGTTACTGAGCTGTTGTTCCTTGCCTGGACATCCTACCTCTAGACTTCTTGTAGTGTGAGGAAAAATAAGCCTCAATTTACTTAGGGCCACTATAAATTAGGTTTTTAGTTTTTTACAGCTGAAATTCACCCTAACTGATATACATACACATACGTTATCTTCTGTTTTCCTTAGGAAATTTAAGAAAAAAAAATCAGAACTCACAGGGTGTCTTGCACACTCGTGGCTGACTGCTGTGAAACTCATTTCCCAGCGGCTCATCCCTAGTCAGAATCACTGGTCTCCCTCACACACAACGCACACTTTGGTGGCTCTGAACAACCTCACCAGACAGCAGAGCACAAAGGAAAATCACACTATCTTCTTCCCACCCTTGGAAGTAAAAAGAAATGTTCTGCCTCAGTGACAAATACTCCTTGGGGAATGCACATGTCTGAAAGGCACTAAAGTTCTGTTGTGCCAGACTGTTAATATTCTGATATTTTAAAATAAATATTAGAACATGCAGTGTTAATCTCCGTAGCTGAAAAAAAACACTAGTCCCTCTGTGTAAGGATTCCTTCCAGGGTTATAACTTACTGTACTCACACCAAAAGATAAATGAAGACAGGCATGTTGCAGGATGACTAAGATCTAAAACATTTAATTACACAGAAATACTAAGGCAGTGATGTTCTGCTCTTGAGTTCCTATAAAGCCAATTTAACTCTCCTCTCTGTGTGCATAAAAGGTAACAAATGATATTTATGCAATCAACTACCAGAATTACAAACAAATTTAAAACATTCTTAAAAGCTAGATATTTCCAGTGGAAGAAAGAATGGTCAATGTTTCTCTGTTCATAACCATATACCAAGTCACCACCTTACCCTGTTGCTGACCTTTAATCTGATTTGTAACCGAAAAGCCCATGGGGCAACTGATCTTATACTATTCCATTCACAAAAAGAGATTATCCATCAAAGAAGCACATTTTTCCTGGGATTTCACTGAATAAATGAGCTAAGACATATTTCTCTTTCAAATTCCAAGCTATCCAAAATATTTCCAGATAATCAGAAAGGTATGAAACAGCAAATTAAGATTCAGGTAATCCTTAGAAATATTTTGCATTTTTTGGCAAATATGGCAAAAGTTTAAAAACTGGAAGAAGGGAAGGGGGGGGGAAGAGAGAGGGAGGGAGCGGGGAGGGGGAGGGGGGAGGGGGGAGGGGAGGGCCCTCAAGTTGAATAACAACACCTGGAAACGAGAAACCCACCTTGGAGATGATTAAGGGTTCTCCGTGCTCCAGGCCACCTTTCAAGGTAAAGCCCCAAGGAGCGCCTCCCTCCAGCAAGGCCTCCAGGTACAGGTACCTGGCCCGGGCGGGCGCGCGGGGCTCCGGGCGCTCGGGCGTCCTCATTTCGCGGGGCCCATGGCTCGCGCGGGCGCTAGCGAGCGGTTCTGGCGGTCCTGGCGGTCCTGGCAATGCTTGGGGACCAGGCGACAGCGCAGGGACACGGGTGCGGCCTGAGATGTGGCCTCCTCCCTAGCTTCGTCCCGGGACGCTGGAGCGGAAGGGGCTTCCACTGCGACCTTTCCGAGCCCGAATCGTTCCCGGGGACTCTGGGTTCCCTTGGGAGCCCGCACTGGGGTGCATTTCTCCTCTGCGTTGGTAAAATCCCTCCAGCGTCACTCTGAAGATCTCTTTTATCTCACACATAAACACATCAAAACTTTTTCTGTGATTTTAGAGCAAAGTAAAAGTCTGGCAATCTAGGAAGAAAATGGCCCAAACTCAAAAGAACACCACTTCGTTTTGATTGATGATCGATCCTTTCTCCAGTGCGAGTGAATTTACCATTACAATAGCCTCCCCGCCTCGGGGCGCGGGGAAGAAAGCCCGCACTTAACTCTGCGCCAGCTGGCTCCGGAATTCTCCGCCGTCCCCAGGCACCCAGGGCTCCGCTAACTTTTTACTTTTTTTCCAGCAGTTAAATTCTTAATTTGCTTCTTGAAAAATAAAAAGGTTTTTTGTTTTTTTTTTTTTTTTTT